CAAAATGGTTGTAATATAATGAAAATCAGAGTTAAGACATGACAAACTATGCAAGAACGATATCACTGAGAGGTGCACCACGATAGTTGTCGTTTCCTTACATTTTAGGCATCCTTTCATGTTAAAAATTTTGGTAAAATTTTTAACATGAATGGATGCCTAAAACCACCGGAAAACATGTTTTTCTTATTTGATTAAGTTATTGAACGTTACTAATATTGATTAGTAACAAAATAATGTGAAGGGGAGGGGGGAGAGATGACAGGATTTCCAGCATATTCTTCATTTGTCCAAACCATTATTGAATTACCAGGGGCAGTTCGGCGACAGAGAAGGGGGACATTTTGCACTTTTGCTACGTCCCATCGACGTGTCGACCTATCTAGAGAGATCTTTCGTGAGCTTGCAAGAGCTTCTAGCATGGTAGCTAGAAGCTAGACGAGCTTGCTCCAGATTCAAAAGAGTCTATAGGTTTCACAAGAGTGAGACTTGTAAGAGACCTAAACTAGTGAAGCAGCAAAAAGGCAAAATGCCCCTCTTGGCGTCGCCGAACTGCGCCAACTATTCAAACACTTTCACACCGGCCACGCCATGGCTTCCCATATAAGAACTCAAACTCCCACCTTGAGGACTCTTCAACGTGAAGAACTACCTGACCTCACAGCGTAAATTGCACAGAATGAGATTTCAAACATCCAAGGGCCCCCGATAAAAGACGTTAGTCAATAATATCAAGACATTTCATGCAACAGCACGCCTGTTCACAGACGTCACAATTTTCCACAATAGTTTTAGGGCTTTCAGCTTCCTTCCTATGTAGTTTCAGTTTTTATCTCTACGAGCTGCATTTAGCGCTAGAGGGCATTTTTTGGAAGCGCAGAAGGAATTTTGCCTAATCCTAGATGAGCAATGTTCCGAGAAAAGTAGAGAAAATCACGCAGAGCATCCTTCTCCAAAAAGCGGTTCTTTAGCAGTTCCATTATGACTCCGATGTGTCACTTGCCGGGAAGCTCAGGCCCGGAATCAAGTCACATGTGGAGTCAAGACTTGTGCCCATAACTCAGCCAAAATGCCCAGGTATACTTAAGCGAGCCAGAATGTGTTCCCAGACAGGATTAGAGCTGGTGATTTCAAGGGATTAAAGGCTGATCTCAGTTCAGGTTGAAAGATTGTAGGTGCAAGTAGGCCTAAGAGCGTTTAAAGGACTCTTTTGCAAAGCTAAGCTGCGGTGGTGGAGATGAGCATTTTTATTCAAATCTAGAAGTGAAAATTTCAATGTGGACAGAAATACTTTCTACACTTACATTTAATCTATATCTACATTACTTATTTCTACTTTGACCCACTAATCTACTTTTCTGTGCAGAAAAGGGAGCTTCGCATCATGGTGATCCCACTTTTCAAGAGAAATCCTTTGAATGCTCACCCTCCTTGACCGACCTGCCTAGGATTGTATTACTCAACATAAAAGTCAAGGGAAAAAAAGATGTATTGGAAACCTAATGCACTTCTCCAAACACTTTTGAATAACTATCATTGTCATCCAACCCAGCGCCTGCTGAACGCATGCTATTCACTCACAGACGTCGGCACCCCAACATCAAAATATTTACCACTGCTAGCTTTGCAACTCATCCTAACTATGCTATTTTCTATGAAATCACTCAGTTTAACCCCTGTGGATCCTTCTCTGGTAGGTCGCCACGGTTTAGAATATCTCACCAAGTGCACAAACTCCCTAGTAAATCAGAGCGGCTACAAACAAGTTCGTAATCAAAACATAACAACCTCAGCTCTCATCATACTAGAAGCTTTGGGAGATCAGAGAAACTGGGAAAAGGAAAATTTGCATCAACTCAATGTAGCGGAGCATTTTCGTGCAATAATCCGTAGGACTACGGTATTTCAATTTTGCACAATCAGCATCTTGCAATAGTCCGCGGGGCTTCGGCATTTTTAATTTTGCACATTTCTGCACCCAATGCTAGTTTCTTTTCAAATAAATCCCTTCGGTTTGGTAAAACGCTGGGTGCTACTCAGCGCTGAACGACAGAAAACAATTTTTAGACAAAGAAATTAGGATTATTACCCAAGTCTGAAGGGGAGAAGCTCAGGTGTTAACCCTTTTTTTACCACCGTAACCCCGCTCTCGCGCATCTCAACTTTTCACAGGCAAGTGACTCACCCGGCCACGAGCCTCCATTTCCGAACCCACACGCACCCGTACAATGCCGAGAAATGGTTAGGCTGACCCCTCTGGAAGTGCCCAGAGTGCTCGATACCAAAATGTTCCACTGTTTGAGGACAGCGTCAAAAACCGTACCAAAAGGAACTGTGAGGAAGAGGAAGCGCTGAGGGGTTCCCACGTTTCAGCAGAACCGATTGAACGAGCTTAATCGGCACTACTCCAGAATAGGTTTCGGACGTGACTGTGCCGCATTGCACCATGCTAGGAAATTCCATGACGTCACATTACGACTACGACACACCAATGAGAGAGAAATTGCTTTCTCTAGCATCAAGGCACAACTTGGAAAAATTAAGGGGGGAATTTTGCGAAATACGACCTCTCATTGAAATTTCCTTCTCTGGGTGCAACCACCCTTTTACCCATAGCGGTCGAGAGGGGCACGTATATAACTCGAAACGGGAAAAAACCGAGGAGAGTCAGAATCTCAGCAACTTCTCGCACGCAAATACGACTGTCCTTCCTTCGGGGAGCAAATACGACCCCCTCTTTGGGGATCTCCAACGTAAGAGGTGCCCTGTCTGACATGACCTTGCCGTCGTGCCGTATCGCATCACAAATCACTATCACTGGCTCCAGACACATACCGGACTAGGACTGGGGCGCTCAACTTTACGGAAAAAATACTGGGACATGAAAATCCATTATCTCACTTTGATTTAACGAGTTCCCTGCACAGTCTGGGAATATCATTTGTCTGGCATAAACAACACAAAAGGCATGCAGACAATTTACGACCCCATATTCTCGTCACATGTTCGCACCTCAACAGGCAAACTTTTGGGTTGACATTTCATCGGGATCCCGAGGGTGACTCCTTTTACAAGATTACGGGGTTTTTCTTCTGCATTCCGTCAATTTTCTGACCCCTACTCTCCCAGAACCTTTCAGAACTCTCTACTGACGAACCAGATCGAATTAACACAATTGATAAGCATATTTGTGATGTACTCAGGTTGAGTATCTAACAAGCTATTTGTCACGCACTGAGGCACATTAACTCGACATACTGCCCTCGATACGCTGCGTCTCTCGGCAGCACTCGCTGCATAAGGCCAGGCCAGGCCAGCCACAGGGCGCGAGGAGGGGTGGCGATCGATGGGACAGCCGGCCAAGCAGCCCAGTCCTCGCTGCTCTCTACTCCCTTATCCGACTCCCGGGTAACCATTTACTGCGCCTCTCGTCGTCCTCCTCCCTGATCACTATCCCTTAATGAGCCCCGATGAATAACGGCCACAAACAGTCAGTAAATGCATATAGCGCTAATCCGTTCAACACCCAAGACCCAAGTTACATCACTACAATCCTGTCTGAATACGAGCTACATAACTGTGGAAGGGCACCTGACAATTACTGGAATCACTTCGCTCTTTTTTATGGGCGATATTCAATCGGGAAGCCTTACGATTAACACCAGCAATGGTAATCCAGTAGTGATTGAGCAGGATGTTCATGGTGTTAGTGAAAAACTATCGCACTCAGGGATGATCCTGCCCATGGCCTGCGGGAGTCACTAAGCTCTTAATCACCTAGAACACGGCCCTAGAAATCCTTGGCGGACGAGCTTAGCTCGTTGGACCAATTCGTCAGCGCCCAAGCAAAGAATGACATCGATTCCTTTTCGGAGTGGAAGCTGGGTCGTGCGGGATTCCCATTTCGAGACGGAAATGCGTCGGGATGAACTTCGTTTCGCTAAGAACACAATGTCGGGTGAGAGATGTGTGCACGAGTTGCAAGAAAAGCACGCCGCGACACACAAATAACCACCAATCGATGAATTCAGCCAGTGTAAAAGCGATCGATGTCACAGAGGCTTGGATAAAGTGAGTAGGAATCGAATGAATAGGATAAACAGACGAGAAATGAACGAATGAAGATAGGAAATGAACGGAACTAACCCTGATCTGGCTCTTCAGCTGTTCAGCTTCCTGTCGTAACTGATCGAGTTCGCTCATGGTCGCTGGAGACAATCAGTTGTAGGCTGATATGGCGCTGGATGGACGTGTAAGGGGGGATGAATAAGACCAGAGATGGAGCGGTAGATGTTGCACAGCAGATTTGATGGTCCTTTCACCGGCGGGTCTCTCACAACACACTCGACAAACTCGCACCAACGACGACACACAAAATTCCACCTAGCCGTCGAGAGACATGCAACACACCGTCAACGTCGACAATGCTTGCTTGCGCTTGAACGGGGCACAGCCAGCAGCAGCGCGGGGAGAGAACGACAGAGAGAAAGCGCGTAGAACGGGGAGGCTATGGGTGTGGGGCGCCGGCCAGCCCCGCGCTCAGCCGCGCCCATTGATCGCCGCGACGCAACCGCGCGCCGCAGCTGGCGACTACGACGAGCACCCCACAAGAGCTTTGCGTCGCCTCGGGGGGTCCGACCGGGCTGACCCGTCGACCCGCAGTGAGTCACTTTAGGGGCTCGCTCGGTCCGGCTCAACAAGGCGTCACACCAGCCAGGGGCAGTTCGGCGACGAGAGGGTGTTTCACTTTTGCTACGTTCCATCGACGCGTCTGGGGACAGAGTACAGCATCGTGGTATGTGAAGTGGTGGTGTGGGTACGACCCCGCTCCGAGAGAGCGTGTCAGTTTGACCCCCCCCTGAATGAGGGTCTCGGTACGACCCCCCCCCTTTTTCCCCAACACCTACCTACCATTTTCTCACATTGTCCAGTCCTGTTTTTCACCCAAAAGTTCCCCGTCGAAGCAGCGCCACTCATGTTTGAAAAGCTAGTCGAGTATACTTCCCCCCCCTTTTTTTTGAGGGGGGGGGTTGTCTGTCCTCCTCATAGAATCAGCGGTCGCGCGAGGGGACGGCGGGTGGGGCAGGGGGGGGAGCGTAAATAGCACATGTGAAACAGGAAAAGTCGCGAGACAATTACGACCCTCCTACCAATAAGTACGACCCCCCCCCCTTTACAACGCCGTGAAGAGGGAAAAATCAACTATCAAAATAAATTTTTCCCAGCCAAAATCTCCTGACAGCCAAATACGAGCCCCCCCCCCCCTTATTAGGGTTTCCCCAACAACGATGTGCCCTGCCGTCGAGTACATAGCCAATATGAACGGGAAAATTTCTTATATCCCCAACTTCCTACCACTTTCCGGAATTTGCCGAGAATTTCCCTACTTCTCTCCAAGAATTTTGCTGTCGTGCGGGAGGGGGGAGAGGGTATATGGTACATGCGAAACAGGAAAAATCACGCGAAAAGTCAACAACCAGCAAAAATTTCTCCCAATGCGGCAACTCGCTCCAAAGCTATGCGACCCCCCTCTTCCCCAGCGGGAAATTACGACCCGCCCTATGTGTACACAAAGATGATGTACCCTGTCTGAGGGGCCATTTCGTGGGCTTGCAAGCAGGGCACGCCATCGCGTTGTGATAAATTCCCACAAATATGACCTCCCCCTAATTCCACCCCCTGGTGCGACCCCCCCCCCTCCTACCTACCACTTTCCCAGATTTCCCCAACTCCCTACCAGTTTCTTCCGAAATTTTCCGAAAATTTGCCACTTTCCTACTTTCTCCCCAAAGTTTTGCTGTCGAGCGGGGGAGAGGGGGAGGTCTTGAGG